CAGCAGGGAGGAGGGGGAGGAAGGGGAGGTGGGGGGGAGGCTTCATTTCTTAGTTGAGTTTTCTTGGGGACGGGTATGTTTTTTCTTCTTTTGGAAGTTTGGGATGTTGGATGTGAGATGCGGGTGGGGTGGTTAGTACGCATATGTGAGAGAGGTGAAAGTGCCATGCTCTAGAATCTTATATTCTTTCGTTCTGCACTCAACAAGCATAGCTTCTCTCCAATGTAGAGTCTCTGGTAGATCCCCATACACTTTGTATTCTGCCTACCGACCAACAACCCCCTTGATTCGTTACCACTCATCGAACTGCCCAATCTTTTGAAGTTCCTCTTGGCACCTGCCGCTCGTAGATATCACCGGGTTTCCGGGAACGCGGATGAATATTTCTCTAGTGTGTTATGGACAGCTGCTGCGGGGCTTGCGAATTACTTCCCGGCAGTTCTTTTTGATTTCTTGCGAGAAGGAAAGGGTAGAAATTTCTGATGTACTACTGTCCCAAGTAGTGTTTGTACTGTACTCCCGCCCCCTGAACTGTGGCACTGTAAGCGTGAACCTTGATTTTAGGCGAACGGCATGGCGGGGGCGGGTTTGGCTTACATATTCGCTTACCTTTGTTTGGAGGGTGGGATGGTGACTACTCGTACTGTGCAGTGATGTAGAGGTACGGTGAGATGGGTTTTATACTAGTACCGGCTGATGTAATGTTTGTCCCAGAACTATTCGTAAAATATGGAGCTGGAGATCTGTACTAATACGAACCCGTATGCGAACTCAATAGTGTACCTTACCTAGTTCAGGTCAAGTTACTCGGGTAGGATGTATAATCCTACCGGGATACCTAGATAGGTAGGTACTTATTCTATTAGGAAGTACCTAGCGTAGACTAGGTAGCGTTTACAATTCTAGTAGTTAAGTTAAGTAGGAATACCTATTTAACCTAACTCGAGTAGTAATAAGTAATACTCGTATTAACTTACCAGGTAACTTGGTTACTACTTTAGTACCGATAGTAGAATAGATAAATTGCCTCGAGTCCTCGTAGCGTACCGGGTACCTCAATAATATTTTTGTGAGTTTATTTACTTACTTAAATTTAACCGGCCCTTCTATATATTAATTATTCCGCCTTATTAAAAAGAGAAGTCAGTTTATTATTGGTTATTATAAGTTTATATTTAGGAAACTTTATAATAAAAGTATATATATAAGTACTAAAAATATATATCCTAAGCAAATTACTATCTAGGTATACTACTCAAGTAGTTATAAAGTATTGTAAGCCACTACTTCACTTATCTCAATTAAATTACCTACTCGTATTCAACTCAACTCAGTCCGAGTAGCAATAAAGTCAAATTAAGTAGTTGAGCTCTTTCAAACGCTGGCGTAGACTACTGTAGCACGTGCTGGCTAAGATATGTACCCCGCTTCATCATACATCATACATCATACCACTCCTCCCCTATATAATCCGCACATCCCTCATCTCAGGAACAATCAAATCAACTTGCAAATCTATCAATTGACAGAAAAACCTCAAAATGGTCAAGGGAAAAGCAACAGCCACCGTCTCAGGACGCACCATCGCCGAAACAGACGAGTATGAGCTCGTGGAGGGAAATGTCTATGTATGTTGATCTCTACCCACTCCCAATCGTTCTTGAAGGCATGAATTCAATTGCTGATTCGCCATCAATTTAGTTTCCACCATCGTAAGCTCAACCTCCTCCTGTGAACCAGGTGTATGTACAACTGGACAAAGTCATCGCTAATGGGAAAACCAGCTCGGTAAATATGTCGTATCTCAGGAAGACGGATCACTCAACACACTGTCCCCACAAGGGAGATGCCAGTTACTACAGCGTAAATCTTGATAGTAAGTCCGATCACAATTCAGGCTTCAATTGACCGCTTTGCGTTTCTCTATCGGGAGGTGAAGCTGACGGAAGTGAATGGATAGAAACCGAGTTGAAGAATGCGGCTTGGTATTACCCAACTCCCAAACAAGAGGCGGAAAATATCAAGGGCTATGTTGCTTTCTGTGAGTATCCCATTTTCTCAAGCTGCCGTTTGAGAAAGAGCATGGATGCCTTGGCTAATCGTTTGGTGTCATAGACAAGAACGTTGTTGATGTTAAGACGGAATAGGTGTTTAGGAAGGAACGGATGAGGAAAGTAGGACATGTATATTTGTATTGAGCAGAAGTGGAATGGAGAAATGTTTTGAGGAGAATAAATTCTAAAAGTGAAATGTGAAGCTGCTTTTTTAGTATACTCTAGATCTTCTTGGGTGGAATGACGTCGACCCTTGGCCGAAAGCGAACTCAGAATTGCCCTCGGCCTTCAGATTGAATATGTACAGCCCCTCGATGCATTCGGTTGATGACGGAAAGAGGAAGAAGAGGGAAAGAAGGGAGAGAGAGAAGGAAAGAAGAAAACGGGGGGAATCGTAGGTGGTTGTTCTGATACTGTACTGCAGCGTGGTGAATGAAAGAATTTAGGTTCACCCCACCCCCACCAATCCCCAACACTGACGCGTAAAGTACCTAATCACGTCGCGTCTTACCAACTACCACAGCACAACGCATTGCACCACCCCGAATAACCTCAATCATGGACATCGATCGTGACGATCCGCATGGCAATTATACCGATGGAAATCGCGCCTTCTTGCAAGCCTTTATGGCGCGCGGCCAATTGTCATTGAATGACAGCAAGCAAATCCTAGCTGCCATTTTCTCCATCCAAGAAAGTCCGTTTGGGCCCCTCCGACCCCTCTTGGGAACCTTGACTGACAACAGCTGTAGACAGAGAAGTCAGCCATGAAGATGTAACGGAAGAGGACTTCAAATCCTACATGTCTGCAGCGGCCGATGCACTTTCCCCTCTCGATTACGAAATTCGAAGTACCAAAGATCAGGTCACGAAAGCCAGGGTTTATGCCATCGTCAACAGTATTAGCGATCCTCTTACGCAGATGGCCACAACGAGAACAACAGAGGAAATGCTTTACGTAAAGCGTCTGCTGGATGCCATGTTTGAGACCTACAACACGCCGCGACGAGAGGTGATGGCCATCACAGGTATACAAGCGCTCGAGAAGAAGGTTCTCAAAGGATCGACCAGAGCTAGTGAGGCCGAAGAAGCCGTTTCCAATACGGACAAAGGCCTAACTGGAGGAGAAGCCGAGAAATTGTTGGCGAAATTAGTTACTGAGAAATGGTTGGAGAGAAGTGCGCAGGGCTTCTACAGACTCTCTTCCCGAGCACTCATGGAACTGCGAAGCTGGCTGTTAGACGCTTACAATGAGGAAACAGACGATCCAGATGAATGGCAGCGAATCAAATTCTGCGAAGCCTGCAAGGACATCATCACCGTTGGTCAAAGGTGTGCTAGGGTGGATTGCAATGTTAGGCTTCACGACATCTGCGAAGCCGCGTACTGGAATTCTAGACCCAACAAACAGTGTCCGAAGTGTAACACAGCGTGGGACGGTGAACATTTTGTCGGGCAACGGGCGATCACTAGCACGGAGGAATACTTGAGGGGCAAGAGAAGAAGTGGTATTAGTGCAAACAACAAGGCAAGTAGTAGTCGGGGGAGGAGGACACAGCAAGTAGTAGAGGAAGAAGAGGAAGAGGAAGAGGAGCAAGAAGATGTTGAGATGGATGACGAGGAAGAGGAAGAGGCTGAAGAAGACGATGAAGAATGATGGTTGGGTCTCGGACGGCGTTTGCATAGTATTTACTCCAGAATTTACGGCGGTCATATCAAAAAGGCGTTTGGGGAAATGGCAGCATGATATCTTTGGTAGGAACCCGCACAGTAGCTGGGGGCGGACTTGAATGTGGATTCTACCAACAATTTTTCAAAACCCCAGATTTCAAGGATCATTTTTAACTTTACAAAACGTGGGTCGACCGGGAAGATCGGATTCCAACAAGACGGTACGGAGTTGGAGTGCGGTATCGAGGATGGATCTGTTTCTTCCCTTCTTCGCATGATTCTATTCATAGTCGTGTTACTTGTTTGACTTTCGGTATAATTTACCGGTAGCGATTTAAAGCATCACCAGCCTCAAAACTCAGGGCTTGAAGTTCCTCTCTCACACCGATGCTTATCTCAAGACGCCTATCTCTCCCTCCACCATCTGGCCTTTGATATGGTAAGTATGAAGGAAGGAAGGTGGGATTCTGAAATTCAGCACAAAAATGGTACCTCGATAATGCGGCATAAAACGCAAAGAGATTTATTTGCATGGAATTTAACATTCGATAAGATAAAAGCTTGGCTAATCTACATCCCTACCTTGAAGAGGATCTCAGAGTTACAATTGGGCAAGTGCCCCAGGTGGATCACCAGTCGTATTCCAGCACAAGCCAAGGCATGTCAAGCCTCCCGCCCACAGCGGGTACAACGTCAGGGGGGACTTCGTGACGGGATTTGTTGACGGTGTCCAGGAACGGAGATGGCTCGACGTATCCAGCCCAGCTACAGTATGCTCAGTAAGAACACATGAAAGTCGATGGCAGAAGAGTCCGAGTTTCTAGAAAACGAAGACCTTTGGCGATGTTACTGAGTGTAGTACAAGCACACTGTACGGAAGATTAACATGACGTTCGTTTTGTGTTTCCTCCTAACTGTACCGTCTGACAGTTTCAACTTTCAAGCGGGATCAACATCTTCCATTTTCTTTCCAGGTTTTCCTTTCTGTACTCCTTCAACCAGCCTTCCAGGGGTCGATGCATCTCGCGGGCGTTATTTGTTCCGGCTGATTGGCCTTCAGATCAGGAACCATCCCCGAAACCCCTCATTTGCCCAAATATCGATCAAAACTACCGCAGTGACGTCCGCACCTGAAAAAGATATACAAGTAAATTCGATGAGGTTTGCCCAGTTTGCCATACCGGCACCCCGTGCAGCACTTGTCAAGGGGTAACTCGGCCTTCGCTCCTGGGGTGGATGTCTAGTTATATTATCCAGCTGCGCAGCGCAGCAGCCAAAGACCGTGTGTAGAGCTAGTCGCAACTTCCTATCCTGGTTTCTCATTCTTTCCTCTACTTTGAGGTATAAGTGCCGGTGACCCCATCTTCTAACATTCCCTCTCTGCTTTGGCTCATCCCTTTGCATGTTCCCTTTCCGTTAAGTTATCATCGTTCAAGATGCCTAGCTTGAACCGTGCCGAGTACTCTGCACTTCCAGTGACGGAGGATCGAAAAGACGAGGATGACAATCCTGTCAAGCCTCCAAAACGGCTCTTTGCTTTCCTTACATTTTTGCTAGCTTTATTGTTGTTTGCTATTGCGATTATTGTTCTTGGACGCTCGAATTATTCTCCCCCCGCAGCGGAATCGATCGTCGATCAAAAGGTCACGGAAGCCTTTCATGATCACCTGGCACGAGCAGGTGGTGATGAATATCTCATAGGAGTTGGAAAGGCTGATATCACTGGGTAGGAAACTATAGTAAAGAACGCAGTTCTAACGAGCTTTCACTGACATTTCTTGTAGCCCGGTGGTCGAAATCAATTTCATGGGCTATGCTAGCTTGCCTCAAATCGGTAAGTTTTTCTTTTATTCTCAGAAATTTCCAACGGCTGCGTTCATGTTATGTGCGTTGTGTTTGGCTTGTATCACAAATTCGCTGACTCCATACTTCAGGTACTGGTCTTCGCCAAAGGCTATATGCGCGAACATATATTGTTGGAAGTAAAACTACTCCAACTGATCGCTTTGTGTACATGGTAATTGACACCGCCAATGGAGATACCGCAATCCGAAACGGTATCTTGGAAGGAGTTGCCGCTCTTGGTTCCGGCTACTCAATGTACGATACTTCAAATATCGCCGTCACGGGAACACATTCGCATTCCGGTCCTGGTGCATACATGAACTACCTTTTACCGCAAATCACTTCTCTCGGGTTTTCTGGGCAATCGTATCAAGCGATTGTCGATGGATCAGTACTTTCTATCAAAAGGGCTCATGAGAGTTTGGCTCCTGGGTATCTCGATTTTGCTGATACAACGGTCGAGGATGCTAATATTAATCGGAGTCTTTTCGCTTATATGGCAAATCCAGCTTCTGAGAGAGCCAAGTATAGCAGTGATGTGGACAAAACCATCACCATGATGCGTTTCAAGCGTGCTTCAGATGGCTTGAATACTGGAGTTTTGGCATGGTTGGTCCCATGATCCTTTTAGACGAACCTTCACTCTGACATCTGAGACAGGCACAGCGTTCACGGAACTTCCATGTTGGAGAACAACACCCATGTCACAGGAGGTCAGTATCTTCAGGAAGTGGACAATACCATCATTACTAACTCCAATCGGCAGACAACAAAGGCCTCAGCTCTTATCTTTTTGAAAAGGCCATGGCTTCTGATCCGTCAGCTGCCCCAGGATTCGTAGCTGCTTTTAGCCAAAGTAGTGTTGGTGATACCTCACCAAATGTCCTTGGCGCTTGGTGCGATGATGGCTCTGCAACTATGTGCACTTTCGAGAATTCTACTTGTTCAGGAACTAGCCAAGCTTGTCATGGTAGGGGTCCTGCTTTCGAAAAGCTCGATCTTGGGGTGTCAAGCTGTTATGAAATTGGTCGCAGAGTCTTTGCAGCAGCTAAAACTCTCTACGTAAGATTTTGCAGTTTATATATATCTTCGAGTACGCAGAACCCAAATACTGATGTTCATTTAGGACTCATTCGATAGTGTCGCAACCCCAGTGAAGGATCCAAGCGTCAAGGCCTATCATACGTTCAACGATATGAGCTTCTTCAACTTTACCCTTCCAGATGGAACTGCTGCACAATCATGCCCAGCTGCACTTGGTTATGGATTTGCTGGTGGAACCACTGATGGTCCAGGAGCCTTTGATTTTACTCAAGGAGATACTGATAACGATCCCAAAAACCCGCTTTGGGTTATCGTGTCCAGCGTGCTTAAAGCACCGAGTGAACAACAGAAGGCTTGTCAGTCTCCAAAGCCTGTTTTGCTAGATGTTGGAGAACTGAATACTCCATATGCATGGTCCCCAAATATTGTCGATATTCAGAGTTTCCGTGTAGGTCAATTCATAATGATTGTTAGTCCGAGTGAGGCAACAACAATGGCTGGTAGAAGATGGAAGGAGGCCGTGGCAGACGCTGCCACTTCCATCACCACTTCAACTCCAAAGGTTGTCATCGGAGGTCCAGCGAATACGTACGCACATTATGTTTCTACGAAAGAAGAGTATGGTATCCAAAGATACGAAGGTGCTTCTACCCTCTACGGTCCTAATGAGCTTGACGCCTATATCTTCCTCTCCAAACAAAATCTTCAATATCTTGCCCCAGGATCAACGACCAAACCTTCACCTGGTCCAACACCACCTGATAATCGCCAAAATTCCTTGAACTTAATGACTGGTGTTGTCTTTGACACTGCAGGAAGCAGAAGTTTTGGAGACGTCATCACCCAACCAGCAGGATCTTATGCCCGTGGTGCCGTCATCAACGCGACATTCGTAGGCGCCAATCCCCGCAACAATCTCCGTCTTGAAGGAACATTCACGGCTGTCGAGAATCTCCAGAATGGCAACTGGGTCACGGTGAGAGATGACAGTGATTGGTTCCTGGTCTACAGCTGGTATCGTGATAATGGCCTTACCGGTACTAGTCATGTGGATGTGAGTTGGGAGACGGAGAGTTATGCTACGCCGGGGACGTATCGTATTCGGTATAATGGCGATTCGAAGCCGCTTGTGGGGTCGATTAGGGCGTTTACGGGGGTTAGTAATAGTTTTACGTTGGTTTAGGATGTTGACTTTTCTCTTGGTACTAGTAGGGTTGGGAATGGATGGATGGGATGGGATGGGATGGGATGGGAGGGAAGGGTGAGGAGCTAGGGGTTCTTGGGGTTTGTTATGATGGGTTATGAAGACATAGGCAACATAGGTACGATTTAATATATTAATTTCTTCCTGATCTGTGGTTATGTTCGTCTCGAGGGGGGGGAGGGGTGGGGAATTTACTTGTATTTGGGGTGCCGGTTTTGATGGGTAAGTGCAAAGGCGAGGTAGTTGGCTTTTTTTCCTTTGACTGTGTACTGGTTGGGAATGATGAAGGAAGTCTCTTGTAATATTTTATAGAGTCTGTTTGTCTAGCAAGGAGTGTTGAAGTTTGGAGAGTCTCGCGATATCCGCGTCCTGGAGTAGCCGGACGGGAAGGGGGGGAGGTCACATGATATATCTTCACCAACGAACTACAAGTATATTGCAATGATCCATACATGATACAATTCTCCCCAATCGCCGAATCTTTGTTTCAATGTCTGGAAAATGCACGCTTGGTCTTGATGAATCAATACCCGGAAAACGTTCCGTGCGCAATATTGGGGAAATAACAATACCTACAGTAGTCTGCAGCTCAATTCGCTTTTCTTGTGCCATTCAGAGGTTCTCTGGAGATTGGTGGATAATGGAGACCAATTCAGATGCCAGTTTTCATGACAGGCGATGAAGGAAGAAGAGCGTTTACGAGGTTGAAAGTGTTTCAAAAGGGGGACAATGGGATGGAAAAGTGGATGTCTTTACCCACTTTCCCCGGATTGTAGGAGATGTGGAGATGAAGCTGAGATTTGAATTGTCTCATAATAGATAGGCTGAATTTATCGAGAGACTATCCGTAGCTTCTTTGAAAAGGTGCTGAGAAGAGAGAGAGAAAGATATATATATCTAAGTCGAAGGAACGGGTTGAATCATTTGAACGACTTTACCGTATTTAACTTGGACTCGAGACTAGGCTGGATAAATGTTCCTGGAACGAATATCCAGAATCAAGTTTCTTTTCAAAGTCAATAATTTTAACATTGCTATAAGTATCTGTGGTCTAATAATCCAAGCTCTGTAAAGCAATCTTTTCTCAATGACTCCGCTTAAATATGTTGGAAGCGGTGGAGATTTTGCCTTGGATAAGAGTTTTTTAAGAATCTAAATGTCAACTTCTACGTCTTCCTAGCTGTAGATTCACACACCACAGCGCATACTGACTTGGTATAAAAAGTGAGTATGATTGGACACCACCATGAAGAAAAGCCCACGATTGGGGACTTCCCGTATACTGTAACATACCTCTCGGTGATCCGAAAAGTAGCGGAACTTCTTTTTGCTTTTCTTACAGTAGCATCAGTTAAGTTATATCGTTTGGGTATTTTATGCTTTAGATGATTATATCGGTGATTGACTAAACTACCCCTTAGTTAAATAAAAATCACTAAATTACCCCTTACATAATTTTCTACTGACTAAACCACCCTATAATTTATACCCCACTTTTTGAAGGGTAGTTCAATGCTATTTCAGAAAACCTACTACACTTTTTATGGTTTTTTGGAAGTTCTCGTAATGCACTCACTATATCTTCTTCTTAAGTCCTCTTCAAACCTAAACGTGAAGCTGCTCAAATTAATAATACAGCACAATTGATTCAGTAAATTCTTTCTTTTGAACTTCATGAAGCCGCTATTATGTTCTGTTTACTAATAATTAAGTAACTAACGTAGTCCACAAGCGAGTTGGATTCCCAAGCGAAATGGATTTTTTTCTTGGCATTTATAAATTCTTAAACATCTCACGACACAATTAATTAAATTAATTACAGTATTCAGAATCGGAATCCTCACATATTTCTTCTCCTTTTTGACAAGTTCGTATGTTGTGGCCATGTTTCCCACATAGTCCACAGCGCCGGCGAGGTACTAGACTCGGGCTCGTACAATTACTATTTTCTACTAAAACCACTTGTTCTTGCGAATCAACATCACTAAGGACCCCTAAATCTTGCGCATCTTGGAGAGTAAGTGATCCTCCTTCCTGTAATCGGCGCTTTTTCGTACGACGACGCCGACTAAGTTGATCATTTGCTGTACGAAGTGTAGCATTCTCAGCTCGTAATAAAGCTACCTCAGTGATTGCACGCTGTGCACCCTTTGCAAGCTGGTCTAGGCCATATAGAATCTGGGTCGGAGAACTATCTTGGTGTCGTACGACCTTGTTTTGTATATATGACGTCTGGGAATATGCCTCTGTTATGTTATTTGGGGTCTTTGGTTCCCAAATAGCTAGGAGGCTTGTTGAGGTAGATGGACGTGACGGAGTCCTTGGACGTATATCAAGCTGTGAAATCACAGAATCTGGGTCGTACGGCACTAAGCCAGATCCTCGAAATCCTCCTCGAATGTTTGATTCAGTCACTGTCGTACGAAAGGCAGTGTAGAATGTTGATAAGAAATCCTCCTTAGAAACATATGTAATGTGGAGTCGCATTAATTTCTCAAGTTCAGCACCGTACGACCTTTTTAACGCTCGAAAACATCCTACATCGAGTGGCTGGAGTCTATGAGAGGAATGAGCTGGCATGCAAAGAGTAATAATGTTATTACTCTTACAAAAAAGCTCAAAATCGACTGAGTGGTGGCTTTCATGGCCATCAAGCACAAGCAGCCGGTGAATGCCCTTCGTACGAAGCTTTGTATGCCGATCGAAATGAAAAATCCAATCTAGGGCTCGCTCATTTGTTGTCCAGCCATTTGTAGTTACAGCAATTACCCAGTCGCGTGGTAATTGGCTGTTTTCGTACCAGGAGGAGAGGTGGTTCTTCCCCGCCAAAATGATATATGGAGGCACTACAAAGCCGTACGACCCAACACCTTGAATTACTGTTGCCCATTCCCGGTTTCCTTGCTGTACTGTACGAGGCCGAGAAAGCCTTTCGGTACTTGTAACAACCATTTCTGATGTAATTTGGCCCATACAAAACCCAGTCTCGTCAAAGTTATAAATATCCTCCTCCTGAATCCCATATTTGTCAATTATATTTCGTACGAGGCGAAACCACGCGTTATACGCGTCTGAATTTTCGCATTGGACTCTTTGATAATCAATCCTTCGATTAAAACGCGTCTTAAGTTCAGGTTGTCGTCGTACGAAGTTCGAAGTCCAGTTCTTGCCAACGCGTCCTGCACCCCGCTCCGAGAGGATACGATTCGCCATATCTTCAACACAACGTACTCGTGGGGGAAATGATCGAGAATCTAGGTCGAGAATATGTCGTACGATAACTATTTCTTCAATCTCTGTAAGTTTTCGAGATTTAGCAATAGAATCTTGTCGTGATAATATTCCATGAGTTCGATTAAGCAATGTCGTATAAGGTACTTTATAGATCCGCGCAACCTTCTTAACTTTTAAATGTGGGTTCGTACGAAGCGTATTTAACGCAAGAATCATATCAGACTCTGTCCAATGCTTAACCATTTTGTTTGTTAAGAAAAAACGCGCTCTGAATAAGTTTGTGGAGTGCTAAGAAAAAAATCCATTTCGCTTGGGAATCCAACTCGCTTGTGGACTACGTTACCCAAATTTGGAGGTATATAACAGAATCAAGTAGCCACCATGTTTACTCCTAGGTCTACCACAACCGATTTCGTATGATAGAGATTCCCTAGATCACTTGGTAGGGTAATTTAGTAAGCGCTATAATTTAGAGCGGCATATTATATGTAAAAAGGGCATTGATTCAACAATATTATCAATAACAAAATAAAAAAGCTCAACTAAATGAATATTAGTATGAAATCTAACATAAACTTTTAGACGAGCATACTATCGAAGTCAGACTTAAGTCTCAGATCAATAAACGTAACACTTGGGTGAGTAATCCTTCTTGTGGCTCCCTGAAAGAAAAGAAAAAGATAGTATCTAGTCCTCTCCACCCGGACGCGTAGATTGTTTATATATTGAATTTTATTGTGGTATGTGGTAGGATAGAAGTACTAAGTCTGATAATAAGGAGTACCTAAAATGATTTCGCGGGCACTGGTAGCTTAAGTGCATTTTCCGACGAAATACAGGCAATGTACAGTACGTAATAAAGAAAATCTATAAAGAGGTTACCCAGAAACTCAGAATTTGAACAGATGTGAGCGAGAAGTTGTTACCTTCTTGTATGCCACATTGCTACGAAAAACGGGTGAATAGATATAGAGATAATTAGAGAAGTCTAGAATTGTAGCCCCTGCTAGCGTTGTTGGTAGTGGGGCTAAGCGAGTTGGAAATGCCGCTATCGCATTGCCTCGGAAGCAACAAACTCCACTATTCACCTTATCACATACACAGATAAGTCTTTCAGAGAAATCTACCTTGGACGAAGGCCCCCAATCCCGCCAATTTGGATGATCAGAATTCAATTCGAATCCTTACTTTGTAGTAAAAGCTAAAGGACCGCAGCAGCTTATTCAAACTATGGCAACTCTTGGTGTCCTCATGAGCTTTTTATGGGCTTCTATACTATCAGGTTCTCTAGTAAGCTGCGACCGTTAATATCAAGAGAAGCCGGTGCTGACATCGTTAAAGTACTTGATTCTTCAAGCTCTATACAATGTTTACATGCACCCACTATCATCCTTTACCGGGCCAAGGTTATGGTCATCTACCCGATTTCCATATCTCTTTTCACTTTGGTCAGGCAGCTTGGCGAAAGATGTCCGCAAACTTCATCTCAAGTACGGAGACATCGTTCGAATTGCGCCGGATGAGTTGTCATTTGCACGACCAGATGCATGGCACGACGTTTACTCAAACAGAGGTGGCCAATCAGCCTTGCCAAAGAGTAGTCTATGGCACAGTGCCCCACCTGGAAGACCAAGCTCTATTTTGAATGCTCTAGATCCCAAGATCCACACACGTTTTCGAAAAGCTATGGAGTCCGGGTTTACGGAAAAAGCTGTTCGAACGCAAGAAAGCACTATTCAAAGTTATGTTGAATCCCTGATCTCGCGACTCAACAAAGTCGTATCTGCAGGTGAAGGGGAAGCCGTCGTGGATATCGTCAAATGGTTTGGGTTCACCACGTTTGATCTGATTGGGGACTTGGGTTTTGGCGAAAGCTTCGGTTGTCTAGAACGCAATGACTTTCATCCGTGGGTCGCAATGATTTTCAGCCACTTCAGAACTCTTACTCTGCGCTCATCCTTACGCTACTACCCTGGAATAAACTGGTTGCTCGGTCTTGCAATCCCCAAGAGGATGATTCAAAAGCAAAAAGAGCATTGGCAATTGACGGTGGACAAAATCAATCGGAGACTCAATCTAGAGAAAACAAGACCCGATTTGATATCACAGATCAAGTTGGACGAATATGGATTACAGGGACTTACGATTCCAGAGCTCCAGGCAACCTCTAGTGTTATTATCGTTGCTGGTAGTGAGACGACTGTCAGTGTTCTTAGCGGTAGGACAAATTATCTTGTGAAGAACTGCGACAAGTTGGCACTTTTGAAGAATGAGTTGCGCGAAAAGTTTCCAAAAGGGGATTCCATTTCGCTCACAGCATTGAAAGAGCTTCCCTATCTCAACGCTGTCATTCAAGAGGGCTTTAGGCTCTGTAACCCTACGTAAGTAGGATATCTTGGATCCAATCAGAATACTGACCGGTGTGGCTTAGCCCTGTTGGACAACCAAGAATCACTCCTCCCAACGGGGCAACCATTTCCGGAAGATTTGTCCCAGCTAATATTTATGTTAATGTACACCCTCTGACGATGTCTCTTTCATCAGACTTCTTCCATGATCCAAACAAATTCTTGCCAGGGCGATGGCTACTCACTAGCACCCAAGTTGAGAAATCGCCATTCTATCACGATAAACGAGATTCTGTACAGATATTTGGGGTTGGACCACGCTCGTGTATTGGGGAGCCACTTGCTTGGGCAGAGCTTCGGCTTATATTGGCTAGATTGGTATTGAGTTTTGATATAGAAGAGGTAAACTCTGTAAGTGGAAAGTTGAAATGGGATGACCAAAGGGTTTTCACTGTTGTGGAGAGGAAGCCATTCGAGGTGCGATTGAGAAAAAGGGTCCTCTAGATTTTCTGCTCGAACCATCAATGAGATGTTTAGATAGCTTTGGAGATTTGACGAGTCGTTCGAATACTTCTAGCATGTCTAAGGCCGCTAGAGCAAATATTTGAACAATTCGGAACGTCGTTGACTGCGCATAGTACTTTGATTACTCCTCCCAGGAAACATTGCTGTTAGGTATCTTTTCCGAGAACAAGCAAAAAACTTTAAATCTCCTCAAAGAAACGTCGTTGCTTGAATCATTTTGAAATATTCCACATGAGCTTTCTCGGAATAATTAATTTATTTGTTGGTTAAACTCTCGGCAACCATTCAACCGATCGTGATGCCTGCCAAGGAAAGCTCCAGAATGGTCGCATGGCGGCTTAATTGAAAGTAAACTTTATACAGCTTGAGAGTGTGGGGGTTTGATGTGGGGAAGTAATTTTTCACCCCGCATTCTGTCACCATGAGTTAACTACCTCATATGTCGCTATCAGTCGTTCATTCCTGCAAGTACTAAGTCGATCATGAAGTTCACTCAACTGTTTTCATTTGCCTCGCTTACGTTTTATTTCATTCTAGTAAAGGGGCAAAACACACTATGGCTATGTGGAGACAGCACAATGGCGCCTGAAGGCGGAAAGAACGGAACAGAAGGATGGGGACAATATTTACATTATTCTTTTGATCCAAAACTCATTGGAGTTAAGAATTCTGCTGTCGCAGGAAGAAGTCTGAGGACGTTCACACGCGAGGGCAAGTTTCAAAGGATTATAGACCAGGTCAGACCTGGAGATTGGGTTCTCATGCAATTCGGACACAATGATGGTTCATATTTTCTGCACCGTTGAAATTCCCCGACTAACCAGCGAGCAGATGGAATACCAGCAAATGACCTCACTAAGCTTCGGGTGGACTGTCCTGGCAAAGGAAATGAAACCTGCCCAGTCACTTACAAGTAGGTATCCTCTCCCATCTCGAAACACAAAACTCATCTCTCGTCTAGTAATCAAACAGAAATCGTCCAAACCTACGTAACCTACCTCCAAAACGCCACACGCATTTTCCTCCCTCTCGGAGCCCGTGTAATAATTTCCCCACCAACACCCATAAACCCATATGAATTTGGCAACTTCTCCTGGTCACCGACCAAGTACTCAGATTACGCATTATACACTGTCGAAACTCTTGGAGGCCCAGCAAATGGTGTCTACTTTATCGATCACGCCAATTACGATATTCAAGCGCTAAAACTTATTGGACAAGAGGAGACAATCACGGGGTATCCCAATGACCATACTCATTTGGCTCCATGGCTTGCGGATACTTTTGCAAAGGCTTGGATTTTGGGTCTCAAGTGTGGAACGGCAGGATTGCAGTCTGCTGTGGTTAATGCAACAAGTAGGATTGAGGGGCCGGTTTTGGGAACTTGTTTGATTGTTGGTGATGATGTGCCGATTTGATAACAAAAGTTAGAAGTTACGACGAGGATTGCTCGGAGATGAGACAGTAAAATGGAAACTCCTGAGTTTTGACCACAACGAGAAGAACATCCAACTAGTACTCATAGTTTAGATTATATTGTAGGCTTGGACTATGTACTATGGACACTATCAGAAACTTAAAAATTGAGCGATATCAAGCTGTTTAGCGTGACAGCAATTATTCCGAAGTTCGCCATACGGGCATTCTGTTGTTATATAAAGTTGCTTACGAGAGCATGATTGGACAGAATTTACAGCAGGTGAGAAGGGGTCCTTATCATTTGGACGTATCCTAACTTGTGCTCTCATCTGGAGATTTGGTATTTTTCGTCATACCAGTTTTCCACATCTTTACCCACCTTTTCATTTGAAGTGACGTAGTTTACTGAGAGCAGTAAACTTTATTGCCACTATTTTAAATATGAGAATTCCGGGTATTGATGCTGTGTTGTTACAAACTTTTGTTGTTAGATAAGTCCTAAATACGTAAAAGCATAGGTAATCTATTTAGATGGCTTTACGGTTAAGCATTTATTGTGAGTTTCTGGATTAAATCCAGTGAAAATTCATATTTTGAGCAATCAAGATGCTTGTGTTGGGTTATTGTTATGCAGTACTGTACGATTAGAGCTGTCAAACTCTGACATTTCGCTGAAATCTTCAGCACATGCGCGAGCTCTTTTGGAGTGAATTATGGTTGAAAACATCCGTGGGTTTTATTTTACATCTCGGCAGTTCTGATACACCTATATAACAAGTATGCTTTTCATCCACACTCAGGAATTCAAGAAGCAAAGAAGCCACAGACCACCAAAGCTCCAACCGATCCTCCTATACAGATCCAGATCCTCCAATATCAATACCTCATTTCATGAAATGATCACCATCACTATATGTAACTAAAAATCTTTCTTACAGCCTTCAGTGGCGCCCGCAGAAGTGAGAGTTTGCCGCATCATAACCGAGAGAGACCCAACGGTCTTTATCTTGCATAGTCCACCAACCAGCACGGTAACGACCACAGCGTAAAGTAATTTGAAACAATTGATCCCCAATCTCGTTTGCCAGGCAGTTGGTAGCCGCGCTACCAAAGTTGCAAAAAAAGGCCACGGTGTTTCCGGCCTTGGAGTAGAAGTCCAAGTCTTTGCCGACTGCACCCGGGTTGCATTGTCTTTCCAAAGCTGCCACGGCTGAATCGGTGTCACCCGGGTTAAGATCGAGGATCGGGCTCGCACAATCGTATTTTTGTTGGACGATATCCCGCTCCGTGAGGGGCCGAGCTAGAGATCGGTGTTTGCTTTCGACTAGCTCGATCTCTGTTGCTGGGCCTCGAAGTTGGTTTAAGACTGCCTCGCCATTGTTGTCGTAGACAACTGCGTAGACACCATCGGCTTGATCTTCTGGGACAGTGAAGCCAGTCGCGGCTGCTGCGCTGGTGAAAAGTGTGACGTATTTGAGGAAATGCATTGCTAGAATGAGGTTGGAATGTTTGGAGAGAGGGACAAATGTGGCTGTAGTTGCTTGCTGGGAACTTAAATAAGAATGATTAGAATTTGGGACAGAAGCGCAGTCTTTATAGATTTGATGACAATTACAGATCCTACAAAATTTAAGACAGCATGGATGAAAACACAGATGCGATTGGCTAAGAAGACGAATCTCGCGAAGGAAGCCTAAAAGAGAATCTTTTGTTGAGCCGTTGTTTTTTCTTCTACAGTTGTGCGATCGCCTTAACCTGGGGGCCATTCTTGAATGAGAAAGGGTAGTGGACGTTTCTGTACACAATCCGATTACAACTAGCGAAAAAGAAAGATTTTGCTACTGGTCATGCCCTAATTTACATTATGCTAGCAACTCATTTTGTGATCTTCATGTTATGAATAGCCGTCAAGAGCAATATATGGAAAGCAATTGCCGAGTTTACTCAAAGAGAAAGACTGGTAAATGGTGATACATGCTGAGCGAGTCTTTGTGGCCTGTCTCCATTTTGACTTGGTTCCCAGAAACAGAAGCAGGCAATTCATTTGCATACAACATATTCTCAAACTTCGGAGTAAGACGGTCCGATATAGCTTTACTTCCCAAATCTTTTGCGTTGAGCTAGTCCGTTGAATTGATGTGCGATCGCTGCATTTCGTTAGTATCCAGAAACGGCAATGGACGGTTCCTATACATACTGGTAGCGAATATTTTGCGGTCCGTTCTAGGCCTCCGGAGTCACTTCCTAACATATACCGGTAGAATACAACTTCCATCTTTCCAAAAGCTATTAGGTAAAGAATACTCTGGAGTTCATCCTTCGAGCCACAACAATGCTTGGCTCACCAATATTACTGCCATTCTCTCACGATCACATATCACAGAGAATTCCACCCCATGCAACCATCGTTCAAATACTGTCACAGATTTCGGACAGAGGTTTGTCTTAGATTATTACCTAGGGACTTGAGGGAAATCATTTAACGCTTCGTATAAAATCCATAAAGTAAGAATTTAATATACGCGAATACACACACACACACATATATACAACTAACCTAGTTGTCCGAGAAACTTACATTAATGAAATCCCAGATAAGCAATGACCATTTACTGTTCACAAAAAGACTTCTTATGCGAATATTATGTATGAATTCATTTTTGGGGTTCTGTAGGTGTATATGCGTGGGGTGGGGTAATAGCAAGACCTGTTACCTATAGCACAACTCCAAGTTTTGATTTAAACCACTTGCGGTGAGTTGACGGGTGTGTACTTAAAAGGCCTGATGCCAAATTTCGCGGATGGCATCTGGAAGCACCAATGATATGTACGGAGTAGGAAAGGGTAAGTGATGTAGGCAATCGGCGGTGTGTTATAGATACGAAGTACTGCGTATGGGAACAGCGCCTATGAGTGATCCAGCAGATCATGCCCCACAGCTCGTGTCTTACCCGGTAATGCAATGAATTGTCTCGGAAAGGATGGACCGTTAAATAACGTGGTTATTGATACTAGAGACATTACTAATACAAATCAAACGTCTCTTTTGAAAAATCCCCCTCCTAACATCATAAAAGATACTGAAACTGATATACATGGTGCGTAAACATTCCCATCAATTCCCCATACGCCGTTTTGATTCCCATGTCATGATCCAACTCTCTCCCGCTCCCACACGTTAGCCTTCACCTACATTTCCTCCCTGAACAATGACCTCCTCTCCGTATGTTCTGTGGGACTCACAACCGTATTATCCTTCGGTTTATGGCCCCCCGACGAAGTCTCAATCGGTCTCGGACTAACCCCCCTCAACCCCTCACCTCCCAACTCCACAGGATCATCAAATGGATTGACCTTAGGTCTCACCCCCATCTCCTCATCGTATCTTCGATCCAGACCCGCTCTAGTGCCCCCAATATACGGTTCCGGCACATCACGACTTAGACTCCTCCCTCTAGGCTCGTCACCATATCCCGCGGGCGCCAACCCACCATGATGCTCGCCATGCAGTCCCAATTCCTGCTCCTCATAGTAACCACCAGGCCCATACGCATCGGCCTCGGTCCCAACCCTCGCATCCCACGCATCATCCGGGTCCAAAGGTCCAAATCCGCGATTGCTAGCCCGTCCACGTACGTTACTACTCAGTGGTTCCTCGTAGGCGCCTCCGGCTGAGCGATTGTTGCGGTTCTTGAAACTCGAGTACTTGTCTTTGATCCATCCGCCGACTCCACCTCCACTATTTGAATTGAAACCATTCGAGCCGCTCGAGAAGGGATTGTAGGATGCGAGGGTTGGGGTAGGAAGGCCCAGGCGTCGCGCTCGTAGATGGGTGTAGACTAGGAATCCAATACAGGATATGACTGCGACGACTGCGACGATGATGAAGAAGGCGCCGAGACCAGATACTTGCGCGCCCATGGTGAGGTTGTTGAGTTGGGCTGGCTGCGACTTGGGTAGTGCCAATCAATCGTGCTTGTTGGTTGCTGCGACGAGACAGTATCTTCGTCGTTGGCGATTGCAGCGCCGGTCGCTGATTGAGAGGGAAGATAATGCCCAGTAGGAGGTGGAATCGAATTCAGCGTGGATGTTGCTTGTCAGAGGTGAGATGAACGGCTGGGCTTATGCCTAAAGCTTGCATCTCGCAGATATCCGTAAAGCATCCTTGGCATGACGCTTGTGATTGGCGAGAGGGGATTCATAAACAACCCTAAATGGGGACGAGCACATCTCCTCTATTTTAGATAATTTTAAACTTTAGCTAATGAGTAATCATGAGCTTGAATACAGGAATGATAATTCAATTCGTGGCCATATTTTAACATCATATATATAAATTACATCATAGCTCACCACTCCTCTCTTCAGCATTATTTACTTCTACTTCGCTTGTAGATATCATATGGTGATATACAGTACTTGAACCTTCGAGAATTTCAAATTAACGCGCCTCCTATAGTATAAATCCGTTGCTGTTACAAGTAACAAACGCAAATCAGCATGTATATTCCCAAGAGCTCGGTAGAGAATTCACCACTCTTTTATCATTTCTCGTCACCTGTCTCCAAATTTAACTCCCCCATTTCTCTACTAGCCTAGTAAGCGAAAATGATTCCTTTCGTTAAAATTATTATAGTACGGCAACTCCCATCCCCTCTACCCCTCCTACAAAACATCAGTTCTGGAGAGCTATAAACCAAAAAGAACCAGGAAGGCGATACACGCGGCAAAACACCCTCTCAATACGTACATCATTAGAAATCCCAGTAGGATAAAACCCCATCTATAAATTCCCCGCAACACTCCCCTCCTTAAGCACCATCTTCGTCTCCTTCTCATACTCCTCGCTCCCAGCTCCCCAAGAGTTCTGCGTCTGATTCGTCCCCATATGTTCCATAGGCAGTTCAGGAGCCAACGTCACATTCGAGGAATGCAAGAGCCTCATTATGGAGAGGAGAATGGTGGATGTTAGACACCTGACGATATATTCAGTATTAGGATGACGAGTTCTATATAGGAGGACAAAGCTTTGAGGGAATCCAGGATAGAGGACTTACATAACCACCCAGCGATCCAAAGTCAGCATCGATAAACACCCCATTGAGACGAGGATAAGGAATATGAGGAGGAGGTCAACGCCAATGACTTTCTTCTTCGGTGTCGGGGTGGTGATTTGAATCCTTTGTACTATTCCTCAATCATTAGCTCTGACTTTTCCCTTTCCCTTCCCTTTCCCCTCCTTCATACAAATCCCAAACCCAGACTAAAATCCAACCCAGCAACAACACCATTCACAAAAAATTACACACGAAAAAAACAAACCTCTCATCAACCCCCCCTGACCAACAACCCACATCGCAACAGCCTCCCCCGCTCCAAACGCAGCCGCCGCACCCACGAGATAAAAGATGCCGTTCCCAGCACAAGTCATGCCCCTAACGCGTCCACCGTGGTCCTCGAACTCTTGACATTTGTCGATGAAGGTTTGCCAGAGATCCGCTGAGCTGCTTAGTGTGTAACTTTTAATGTATGTGTTAGTATAGTAAGATCATAGATGTGAAATGTAAGTTGTAAGATGGGTAGATATATGGGATGTGGAGGGAAATAGGGAAGAGACTCACATAGTCAAAGCAGATAATCCCGCCGTCCAGTTGACGATACAATACACGCCCGTCACGAAGACTAGGAGTAAGGAAAGCCTCATGATCGCAATTGTAACTTGATGTTTGTGGATTCCCGTGATTAGACAGTAAGCAAGCTAGCAACCTAGATAGGTACGGTAGCTAGGTATTTCCAATCCTCAAACTCACTCACTCTTACAATACCCAACAAACTTCCTCAATTCAAATTCCAAAAAAAAACAACCCCGTAAAACAAAAAAACGAGAATACCTCTCAATCTCGCAATCAAACTCCAGTAACTACTTGAGTAAAGCAAAAATAAACAAATCATGCAAAGTACAAAAAACCCTCCCCTCCACCGCCTTTCCACCCAGTCAGTCCACCCGCCAACGCTGCTCGCAGCATAGATGCGTTGGACACTTTCCCGCCTAGAGTACCCAATCCAACCCAACCCAACGAATAGAAGTTTTCGTTTCCATTTTATGCAAGTATTTATGCACATGTACAACAACAACTTACAATTATGGTCACTGCTAAGCGTATACAATCCCCACCCATCAAACAACCAGCGATTTGCAACAACAACACCTTGAAACCCCCAATAATGACCAAGTGCACTCATAAAAATACTGGAGTATCCACTCAACACAATGGAAGCCCATCAAACAACCAGCGAACTGCAACAAACCTCACACCCAAACCCTTGAAACCCCCAAGTTTTATTCACATTCCTATGAGAGGGATTCTATCGCAATTACCATCGTAAAAAATTGATACTCGTATCCACTCTACTTGGTACTCAAGTATATCAAACGATGAGCGAGATGCAACAGAACCACACCCGAAGTTTTGAAACCATACCTAGGTACCTCCGCAAAAAGTACGGACCACGTGACCGAAAATCGAGAACTTCCAACAGGTCAAGGCAAGGCTTGCAGCAAGAAAAAAGGACAGTGTTGGAAAAAAAACAGGGATTGTGATGGTTACATAGTTGTTGGAGATGAGTAATAGGGAAGTAAAGTATAGTAACTACCTTTTTCAGGGTGAAGGCCAAGGCTCAACACAAGAAGACAAACCACCCAAAAAGATTTTAAGTAAAAATATATGATAAATAAAAACTCGAGTTATTTATTGCCATAGCAATCAGTTGCGTACCTGGAAAAACGTGATAGAAATCTATATTCCTCATTTCATCAATCAAACAATCATAACCATCCAAGCCAGCCTCAAACCCAACGCAACCCAACCCAGTCCATATATTTTCCAAACCATACCATACCACACCCATCCAAAAATCCCCTAATTCACACCCCCAAAAGAACCTAAACCCACCTCGGACTCCCAACCGCAATCCCAATCGGCACACTAACCGGCGGCAGTATTATAGGATCCAACACCGGAGGGGACAGACTTCGCATCCCCTTCCTCTCCCTCTCGCTCTCCCTCTCTAGATCCGAGTGATCCGTATCCCCGTCCCTATCAGAAGATCTATGTATCAGCGCATATTTCCCAAGGACGATCGGATCGCCGATTCCACGATGATCGAAGGGAGAGTTTACATCGGGCCGCATGGGACGGATGGGTGGAGGGCCCTTGTAGAGCTCCTCCACCTCGAGTTTTTCGTGGTGGTGTTTGTAGAAGATGTAGAGGGCCAGGAGGATGAAGGAGAGTAGGGCGGTTGAGAGGCCGACGCCGAGACCGATGGCGAGGCCGTGTTGGCTGGCGTAGGAGGGTGGGTTGGAGCTTGGTTGGGATGTGGCGGTGGAGGTGGATGCTGCTGGTTTTTCCCCATTGGCGGTGGGCGTGTAGGTATAGTCTGTTATTGAGGCTTCGATGGTTGTGGAAACGACGACGATATTTCCACCGCCTTGGGTGGAGGTGACTACAGTCGGTTCAACGACTGGGATAGTATTAATGGGTATAGCTGACCCTGAGAACCCCGATCAGTTATCTAGACCATGAACGGCCATGCGGGATGTCACAATATATCTTCATGTCCAACATACCTTGTATGACAAACTGAGTATCAGGGTCGGCGCAGATATTAATCAGTCCATCTCGTTTGCAATAAAAAGTGTTGTCTGAACCAGGACATTTCCCAAGAGCTTGACCACTCCCAAGATTTCCTTGAAGGGGTCCAGATGGTAGATTACAATATTTGGGGCAGAGAGGCGAATTCCATGTGCTGTCGGTACAAGATCCTCTCCATAAAGTTCCTGCTATCTTTCCATCTACCATTGTTGAGTTGTCCATGCAAACTCCATTCTCAAGGCAAACAAATCCTCTACCACAACATACTGATTCCGTTCCAGCATTGCAGTTCGTATCTGAGTCGGCCTTATTTCCATTTGGGAAGAAGCATTGCCTCTTTTCTCCTTCAACTTTGCCAATTAAGCATAAACATAAAACAAAAAATAAGAACAAGTACTGCGACGGGACAGAATGCAAACGAGTCTCTAGCATTTCGACATTTGGAATGGCATCGAAAGTAAAATCAAAGAGCAAGAAAGCTCAACATGGGGCTGGAAGGCAATATATAAAGGAAAAGGGAGTCTATACGAAAGAGAAATCGGCCTCGTTCCAGACTAGCTGATGCAAATCACTAGGGGCACAGAAAGGGAAGGATAAACCTGATTACCGTTACTGAAGTAAGATGCGGTTGATGACAAGGAGGGATATTGGGGAAGGAGAGCTTCTCGTTGGATCGGCTTTTCTCCAGAGTACATGCAGGACGAGCCGTGGGGCCATCCTTGGGGAAGGATGTGAAGCCTCTGCCTTTACGACAAAAAATGAAGATTTGGCAAATGTCTGACTACGCCGCTTCGAACGGCGTGAACAGACGAGACGCACGAAAGCAAGTAAGCGATGAAAAAGGGAAGATAAGAGGTGGAGTCAGGCGCAAAGAAGGGAGTGTGAAGGAGGTGATCACTTGGGGGTCCAAGCCACAGTGTAGGAAGGGATACCACATGGTTTGAAGGTGGCGGATCTGATATCTTACGCAATTGGACCAATTGCGATATGATTCGGACGTGACACGGCGACCAGAGGGTCTGTTGATCGCCGTTGGTTGCCATTAATTGCGCAAGAAGGACCGGAAGCGGGGTGTGTTGTGCATGCCGATTACATGTTGGTAGAACATAATCGCTGTGCCGATTTTGGTCCAACTTCTCCAGCTCCAAAGCGAATGTTCCATTTTTACCGAGAAGTTAGCAATGATGCTACGCTACCTGAGTACCTCTCGTAGTATGAAACCCAAAGAGGAGATCTTTATCCTGAGCAGGGCCGAGAGTTCCGCAACATGATGTATGTACATGTAACAGATGGGACCGTACAGTAAGGCTGCCGACCACAGTAGCGTAATGGAGTATGCTGTGTTGCTTTGTGCAATGTTGTGCCTCTTTGTCAGTGTGCCATTCCGGCTGGCTAGGTGAAGATATTTTTAGAGGTACGAGGTAGGTGGATGAGGAAGAAGATAGGAGTCGGGTTCAGGAAAAGGAGGGGAGGGTAGAAAGACGAGGTGAGGAGGCGCAGTGCAGTTCTTTCAATACACTTGCATATTACCCACTCAGGAGTCATAAGACTCTCATTTGTAGCCGTTGACAGGATTCCCCGCTCCATGGCGTTTGTTCCATCAATACAACATCATTGCGGCTTTCGTCTCCAAACTTTGTGGAGTATCTAGTATCAGCGGCGCTTCCGAGCGCTTATATTTCATTTTGGGGGCGCGGTAACTTGACGCGAAGCGCTGATGATTCCATACTGCACGTCTTATCTTACATCCAGACGGCTTCTGCGTGGACACAGGATCTTGATTGTCCCCCAATCAGCCGCTCGAGTGTCGCTGAACTTTTGATGCTGCAAAGGAGTGTCGCGACGGTATTGGACGGCTGATGATGACTGAGCCATTCATTCATCAGCTTGTCCGTCGTGAGGCTGTCTGCCTGGCAGTGCAACTCTGAAGTTGGAGGTGGGTGAGGGCTTTGCAATTGGGGGCCTCGGAAATATTGAAAGAATCAAGAACCCAACCCATGAGCCGTACAATACCCCGAGACTCATGGCGCCAGCAGAAATTGTTCGCTGGACGCGCCTCTCATCGGGACAATTGGATGAGGCTCGGAGGGGCAGCGGGGGTTGGGTTTGTACTCTGAGAGGGGACAGAGTTGCACCTTCCCCAATAAGATCCCTCGCGTCATCTCGCAGACTTTTTCTAGTATAATGAATATGGAAGGGGAAGAACGACCTTGAGTCTGATACTTCTTTCCCTTCAAGAGGTGGTTGACTTTCAAGTGGTTCAAATAGCGGCGGACGATAGATCAATTCAAGATGCCAGGACTCGCTCTTACAAAAGTACCTTAAGGCCGATGACAGCATGTCACGTGTCGTCGAGAGTCTTAACGCCGACACTACTATTCAGGAAACGTTCTCCAGCTCTTCTCAACATCATTGATTTCGCAAACAATTACTAATTCCTTCTAGGTACATCCTCAATTCACAACAATGACAAAGAAAACAAAACCCCATCCAGTCTTTTCCTGCACAAGTCTCAAAAGAGGTCTGGGCCACACCCACGCGTCAACGTCCGCAACACACGAAGAGGATTCGCTTCATCTCCGACCACCAAACTCCCACCCTCACATATATTAAGCCTCCAGATGACTGCATATGTACACACCATCTTGGATTGAATTGGGTTATATATCGGTTCAATCCATCAATTGATAATCCTTGAAACAAACGTGGTGAGCCACGATTCTTTCCATCCTACCCTACCTAAGTACTCTGACACCAAAAACGTGGGATCAAGTTTGGATTTACTCGGGTCACTCTCCTTCTGCTTTGCATGTGGCGTAGAAACGCTCCAGGCGTTCTAGAACATGTTCTGGTTGTGAATTGCGTTCCTGGATGCAGGTGGGTTCGTGAGTTGCATTGGCTTCTACGTGCAGCTCAGATCTAGAAGCTCTTTCCTATTTCGGAGTTCCTTGCTTATCGTGTTACCATCACCCTCCCTCCCTTGCTATTCTGTTGTTATCCCATAACGATCAGTTACAACGCAGCATCGCATTGCGGCATGTTTGCCTGTTGTATGAAGAAAAACAAAAGATCAGGTTAGATAGTACAGTACGTAGTACGTACCCCTTCTCTCTTGCATATTTTATTGGTATTATTCGAAAGCTTACAATCTAAATTTGATACAAGGTAACTAGTTCTTAACAGTATAGTAATTCGAGTAAATAAGTTAAGTAGTAGTATTTACTCAACTTACTTGTAACCCGAGTGTGTAGTAAAAGTGCTATCTAACTAATTGAGGTACTAAATTTATATAGGCTAGTTTCTTATACCTCGACTTCTTCGTAGAGGCTCTGATACAGTTATACTGAGATTAGCGAATAGCTCGAACAATATACCCCTATATCCGAAACCAATATAGGTCGATATAATCCACAGATTTAGTATAGTTTTGTAAAAGTTTTGTGCTGTTACTAAGGGGTTTCTGGGGTTTTATATATAAGCATTGGCGAGGGTTGGTGAAAATGATACAAATAAGTACCTAATAGTAGAAGTATCTCTCCGGATTTCAGGTGGGGATAATCTGGGGTGAATCTTCCGAGCTATCCGCCGTCGTTATATATGCTATAACCTTCTCTAACAGCGACATCGTCGATGTTGGTATCACTAACGAAGTGAAGCGATACGGTATAAAATCTTTTGGTTATATTTCGTATGGGGTCTAAAAGAGAGTGTACTTAGTGTTGTACCTCCGTAGCTAAGTATATGGAAGTGTGTGCCGCCCGTGCTGTCTTAGACAGTTTCACGTGACCGCCCTCCTTTCCACCAACCTGGAAGGACCTGAATGTACCGACAGTCGAAACAAGTAATAAAGACATACCGTCCACGATCAACTTAACAGACTACTTGTTACTACTAGAAGACTAGAGAACGGAAAGCACACCATGTACTACTACCGTCCACAAAAGACAGAAAATGCTATTTCGGAGACGATGGGTATATCAATTCGTACAATGAAACAGAAATACACGTACCGCACCCAGAAATTCGCATGGGCAAATTCTTATTCCCACAGAAAATTCCCCAAATACATATCACGGGACTTCTACGAAGTGTTCCATAGCCTAGTATGAAACCTGGGGTAGGGGGCTCGAAATAAGGTTATTTTAAGGGTAGCTAGGTATGAAACTTCTAGGCGAGCTTAAGATGGTGCTTACCAACCCAACCTCATGTAAGTATCGTCAGATAATTCACCTCGTGCCGGATGCAACAGGTAATATTTAGTGGGTAGACAGGGTATTTTCTAGTGGATTACAGGGTAAATACTCCACTGGATTGTATCATTTATTTGGCTTGGGATGAAGTATAAAGAATGTCTTTTACCACCTCTTCAAGCTCCTCTATTATTACTACCAGATTCTGAATCGCTTTTATAGACGGGCCTATAACGTACTTCATAAGGAGTCCGGATTTATGAGCAGTCCGGATTTTTTACCCCACCATCCAACTTTTAAAAACCATAGAACTTTAACCACTTAATATTTATTTATATAAATTATACTATCTTTCTTATTCTCGATCTGGGCACCTAGGAGCAGTATGCGCTAGTGATCTACATATACTACAGGTTCGTGGTGCACGAATTCGTGGTTCAATTAGCGGGGCCACAGCTTCATCCAAAACCATATTATCACTATTTTGAATAAGTTCCCTCCCTTCCTGACCTGTAAGAACACCCCCAGTAGCAATATATTGACGTCGCACAGTCTTCTTCTTCTTTTGACGTTCAGATTCAGCTCGTAAACGTCGATTTTCCTCTGCCAAAACCGTAGCTGATTGCATAGCCATCTTACACCCTTTAACCAATTGATCTAATGCAATAGCAGTAGGGCTTGAGAGAACGTTTGTACGTCGTTTAATAGATGCTTTAATTGTCTGGGTTTGCTGATCTGCCTCATATGTATTATGGGGTGTCTCAGGGACCCAAGGTAGTAGGTTTGGAGTGTGAGAGGCCAGACCTCGAATAGCTCAAAGGTGTGGTTTCGAATATTCAATTAAGAAGTGCGTGAAGACTACATACATGCAATCTCTTCCTCTATATATAGAGAGAGGAAGAGTTTCTGGAGTCTTCCAAGAAACTGTTTGACAAATACGTGACGTCAAAAGAATAGAGTAGAAAAGTGTAGAAAAGGAGAAACCAATTTAGCAGTGGAGCAATGGCCAATGCTGAGCGGGGACTTTGGTCAGTGCTTAGCGAGGGCATGGCCCGAGCCTCCATCATGGGTTCCAACCCTCACATGGAGAAAGTAAAGGAGGAGTAGGCGTATATAATTGAGTATGTAATTTACTCAATACTTGATCTGGGTTGTACGGGACAAGGCCAGTAGTTGCGAATCCATTACAGATTGTGTTTTTGACCATAGTACTTGTACGGGCTACACGATATATTGAAAGGAAGTCTGGTTTATCGATATGACATGTGCCGGCTCGTACTAGCTCCTCGACTCCTCGTCCATAAAGTCGCTTTAAAACTGCAAAGCAACTAACATCTAATGGCTGTAAAAGATGAGATGAGTGCGGTGGCATACAAAGCGTTATGATGTTATGTTCTGAACAGAAAAGATCGAATTCGGGAGTAGAATGACTACCATGGCCATCGAGGATTAAAAGTCGATATACTCCTTTTACACGGTCCTTGGTATATTTCTCAAATACGTCTGAAAGCCACTTAAGACCTAAGGAATCATTGGTCCACCCTTTATCACTAAGTGCAATTGTCCAACCTGCTGGTAATTGATCTGTATACCAAGTCGATATATGCACCTTGCCCTCAAATATAACCATTGGAGGCAACACCCATCCATCCATCTGCACAAATTGATTCGACAACTGTAACCCATTCGCGATTCCCTGGTTGTATATGAATAGCCCGTCCTGTATA